CTTCTTCACATTTTGTAATCTAATCATTTTAAATCTTTAAAAATATTTTTGTTCCTCGAAGTGAAAAAAGGAAGATTGGAATTAAAACCATTGTACTCTATTTCACATCCAATTAGTAAAAATTTCATGGTAGAGTTATGATCAAAGATAGATGGCCAGGGATGATTTTACAAAACTTCAGAATCAGTATAAAGTGCCATTGGATTCAAAATGTTACAAATGAAGGTGCACCTCCAGATGGCCCATATTACACGTCATACCTGGGCTAGTCTAACAATGAGAATTTAAGGGCTAAGATGAGAACAGGAGCAAAACAGAAAAAAGTTGATTGGGAAGCCTCATAATATATCCTGCATTTTGGCAAACTTTCCATACATGGGGCAAGTATGACAGAGACAATCCCAGGCCCATTATTGGTCAATTGAGGGAGATATTTCTCTAGCACCCCAAGTATCTTCTGATTCTGATCATAACACACCGTTTGTAAAATGCAGGTGATGTTTGACAGATGTACATAACTTTTGCTTTCATGTTATAACGTCATGATGAAGTGATGAAGGAGATGCAGTGGATGTTGTTTATATAGATTTTATGAAACCATAAACTTTGTGGCACAGGAATTAGGGTTAGTGTCAGCTTCAACCAAAAACTAATTCAAGTGCAAAAAATTGTTATGTTTTTCAGAATGAAAGGTGGTTATCAGTGGCTCCTCAAGAGTCAGAGCTAGGAGCACTGCTTTGTGATATATTATATATATAGGAATTGGAGATTATAATACAAAGTAACATTTCAAAACTTGGTGACATTACTAAACTTGGAAGAATGGTAAACAGTGAAGAATGTTAGCAATTCATTTGCAACAAAACATTGATGGGCTAGCAGAATGGGCTGATGAGTGGCACTTAGAAACTAATACAGAGAAATGTGAAGGGATTTTTCTTATTTTGGTGAAGAACTGGGTGGATTTGTAGATGGCAACAGTAGTTGTAAGTAGCACTGGTTAGGCCAGCATTTATTGCCTGTCCCTGTTTGCACTTGAGAAGGTGGTAGGAAGCCACTTCCTTGAACAGCTGTAGTCTTTGGGGCGTAGGGACACCAGTGCTGTTAGGAAGGGAGTTCCAGAAATTTGACCCAGTGACAGTTATGGAACAGCGATATAATTTCAAATCAGAATGTTGATGTCTTGGAGATCAATTTGCAAGTGGTTGCATTCCCATTGCTTTGTTGTTGTTATCCTCGTAGGTGGTAGAGGTCACAGGTTTGGATTGTGTTGTCAAAGGAGTACAGGCAGGTTAGACTGCAAGTTGGTGGATGGTCCATGATGCTGACACTGCACCAATAGTGAAGGGAGTGACTGTTGAATGTGGTGGCTGGGGTACAAGTCAAGCAGGATGCTTTATCCTGGACGGTGTGAAGCTTCTTGAGTGTTGTTGGAGTTGCACACATCCAGGTAAGAATGGAGTATTCCATCAGGCTGCTGTATTGTGTCTTGAAGTTGGTGGACTAGCACTGGGGATACCAAGGTGAGGTGCAGAATTCCCAGCCTCTGACATGATGTTGTAGCCATGGTATTTATGTGGCTGGTCCACTTCAGTTTCTGGTCATTACTAACCCCATGATGTCGATAGCATGATTTCAGTGATGCTAATGCCTTTGAATGTCAAGGAGTGATGGTTAGATTCATCCTTTTGAAGATGATCGTTGCCCAGCATTTGTGTGGTGTGAATGTTAATTGCATTTTGGCAAAAGGGCTTTGTGGAGGTAATTTGTCCTTAATGACATAGTCCTAAGTGTGGAGAGACTTTGGGACCTGAGGGTTCATGGGCATAGATTTTGAATGTGGAAGGGCATACTGAGCCCTTAGCAGGGCACATGAGATCTTGAACTTCATAAATTGAGGTATTGAACACAAAAGCAGTTTATGACAGAAGTTATACAGAACCTTTATCCAACTTTGGCTTAGCCATAACTGAGCATTGTGCCTTGTTCTAGTGAGCACATTTTAGGAAGGATGTGAAGGTGCTGAAGGAACAGAGAAAGTTTGCCAGAATGGCTCCAAGGATGAGAAAATTTAGCTACAACGTTAGGCTGGAGAAGCTGTTGTTCAACTTGGAGCAAAAGAGCTAGGCAGATCAAATGGAGTTGTGCAAGGTTATAAAAACAAAATGGCTGGAAAGACTCAGCAGGTTTGGCAGCATCTGTGGAGAGAAAGCAGAGTTTAACATTTTGGGTCCAGGGACCCTTCCACAGAACATGTTCAGACTTGCTGAGTTTTTCCAGCAATTTCTGTTTTGGTTTCTGATTTCCAGCACTGCAGTTCTTTTTTCTTGTTTATGTGTAAGTTTAAAATTGGTGTACATGTAACGTGGCAACAATGAAAATCTGCTCCCATTTGCTGTTTGTACAAGGACTAGTGGACGCAGAATTAAGGTTTTTGGCAAGAGGTGCAACGGATTGTGAGGAAGAACATTTTACACAAGTGGCAAAGACCTGGAACTCGCTGTCTATAAAGTGAAAACAGAGATTAATTTCAAATAAAATTGGACAGGCATTTGAGAGAAATTAACTGCCAGGACACAGGAATAGATTGGTGATAAAGGATGACTGGATTGGTCTACAGAGAGGTGGCGCGGACTCAATTTACTGATTGGTCTCCTCCTTTGCCATGCTCTGTGAATGTTCAAATACAAATACTTAAAAGCTGATAAGGCAACTTCATAAGGTAATTGAAAAGTCATATGCATTGTTTAAGTTTCTAAATAAAGGAATTGATAACAAAAAAAGCTGAGAAAATGTTCTCAGTTTGTAAATCACTGATTAGGCTGCAGCTGGAGTATTGTGGATAATTACAGATACCATGTTTCAGAAAGAATGTAAAGGCCTTAGAAAGACATAATGGTTTACCAGGATATTACGAGGATTGAGGACTTCAGAATGTTTGGACTGCTCTGGTTGGAACAGGAAACATTAAGAAACACCTTATAGAAACATTAAGAAACACCATCAAGATTACGAAATTGGGATTATGATCTCAGAAAGGGCAATTTTCTTGGTCCTCAGTGCCTCTGGACTACAGAAGAAAATCATCCAGTGTTATCCAATGATTCCAGTTGTATCAGTGTATATTGATGCCAGATGAGAACATCATCAGGCTTATCTGTGATATTTCCATTAAACGTGAGATTGTTCTTGTCTGCTGCTAATTTATTGTAAAATGAACTCAGGTAATTTTACAGACTGAAAATTGTACTTGTAGAAATGACATATGTTTAAGAAAAAGAAGGCACCACTGACCCGCAGTTCTTAAATATGTTATTGAACAATATCTAAGGGAAAAAAGTCTTTCGTATTGCCACAATTTCATCCCATTGTCCAATGTTTCTAGGTTAAAATCCTTCTGATATAAAATTCCAACATTGCCCAGAAATTGCCCCAGAGTCTTTTTTTTATGCACATGAGCTACGGCCACCGTACAATGGGTTGGATTTCACTCAGTGTTCAAAATTAGCTGCATCAATGGGACCTTCGGAGTTATTCTAAGTTGCCTCTCTAAAAGCTATGTTGCTAGAAAGAGCGATACTTTTTTTTTGCAAATAGATAAGGTCAGACTCATTATTTCCATAACTGATAAGAGTACTTGAAATACCTCTATAAACATGAAATGGATATGTTGATTTAGAATAGCTGTTGAAGAGATGTAGAGTTCTCATTTTTGCATCAATTATTATCTTTAGCTGCATTGCTACACCATTTATTAGTTTCATTGTATCTTTGCTCTACATATTAACAACTGTACCAAATGAGTTCTGGTCACCCTGTTATAAGAAGAATATCATTAAATTGGAAAGTGTGCAGAAACGATTTACAAGGATGTTACCGGGACTGGACGGCTTGAGTCATAAGGAGAGGCTGAATAGGTTGTGACTATTTTTCATTGGAGCATAGGAGGTTGAGGGGTGATTTTATAGAGCTTTACAAAATCATGATGGGCATTGATTAGGTGAATAGAGTAGGGGAGTTCAAAACTAGAGGACATACTTTAAGGTGAGAGGAGAAAGATTTAAAAGGGACCTGAGGGACAACTTTCACAGAGAGCATGGTTTGTATATGGAATGAACTGCCAGAGGAAGTGGTAGATGCAGGTACAGTTACAACGTTTAAGATATTTGGGCAGGTACATGACTAGGAAAGGTTTAGAGGGATATGGGTCAAGCAGGGGCAAATGGGACTAGTTTAGTTTGGGATGCCATGGACAGGTTGGCCTGAAGGGTCTGTTCCTGTGCTGTGTGACTCTCTGTAAAATAATTTAATCTTTGATTGCATTAATGGGGAACACTTAGGTTGACAGAACAAGCCTGTAAAACATATTCATCTTCATACTTAAAATGTCTCTGTGTCTTCAACGATAATTTTGGTTTGAAAGTCAGAATCATAATAGATGCCACAATCGCCAAAAAGGAGAAGCAAATCCTGTCAGTTATTTCTCAAATCATCATTGGTGCAAAACAAGTTGTGGAATAGAATTTTGCTTACAGCTCGCTTAACTTGTTCTATGGCAATCCACCTAAAAGCATTTCACTTTGTGGACCGATCCTCAGTGCAGTTTTTTTCCATTATCAACCTTTGAGGGTAGCCATGATTTTGAAGCTGGCTTTGAGGAAACAACGGTTGAGGATGAAGCGGTGACTACGAGACTTCTATAATAAATATAAACCTAAAATGGTGCAGTCAGTAATTTGGCAGCATCTGTGGAGAGGCAGAAGTTAACGCTTCAGGTCGCTGACTTACAATCAGAACTACAGAGGTGCTGTCAGACTAGATGAGCATTTCCAGCCGTGTTTTGTTTTTAATTTAAACGTCAGGTTTCTGGCTGTCTCAGTACCTGTGTGTGTAACTATACATAATTATATTTTGTTGCTGTCCAGGGTCATTCCAGTCATTGGGGATCGAACTGCGCAAATGGTCGCTCACCTCCGGGCCCAAACGCGCTACCACGGCAACCTACCGTCGCGTTGTGACGTACCGTCGACGCCTGATTACACGTCATTTCCGCCCGGCCCGGCCAGAAAGGGAAGGGAAGATGGCGGCGCATTGTGAGGTGAGGGCGGTGCGGTGTCTCTGAGTCCCGCCTGGAGCAGGGTTTTAAAACAAAACCTTGTGTGTTCAGAGCGAGCGGCAGGAGGGAGCAGTGGTGTTGAGTTCTGATGACGAGTAACTGGACCCCGATACATTAACTCTGCTCTCACTCCACCGATTCTGCCAGACCTGCTGAGTTTCTCCAGCATTCTATCTCTGTTTGTTTCTGATCTCCCCCCATCCGCATGTCTTTCTGAGTCTGGAGCAATGGGGATGACCGATAAAGGCAGTGATCCTCAGGTCTAATAAATACATTAATATTTACAAAAACAGGCTCCTCATGGTGAGGGAATACTGATTTCCAGAATGTCTCAGGAGAAAAAAACTCCAATCAATATTAAAATTAATTAAAATATCTCGGCTGATATTGGGTAAAAAAGCAAATTTTGTTCGAATGACTGAATTACCGATTGTTTTAAACAGGTGGCTGGATCGATCAGCTGTTTCCTGCAGGTCTCGAACATGGACATAAGGCTTGAATGTTTGATAATGGGATGAACTTTGCTGACTTTAATGGTTCTCCACTGACCTGCATCAACAGATTGCACTTGTATAGTACCTCAAACAATGTAGATTTGAGTGCCAGCTATGTAGTCTCAGGATAAACGGTTAGTCACCTTGCCTGAGTTGAAGAGAAACTTCTTCACGCAGAGGGTTGTAAATCCTTGGAATTTTGTACCTGGGAGGGCTGTAGTTGTTCACATTAAGTATATTCAAGGCTGAAATTTGTAGCTTTTTGCTTTCTTAAGGGAATAAATGAAACTGGGACTGACTAGAAATTAGACTTGCCATGATCTTTTATGCAGAGTCGAGGATAAATACGGCCTAGTCCTGCTTCCTTTTTTGTCTTGTAACTCTGGATTCACCCCTGAAGTTATGACAGACCTCATAGCTGCATACTATGTTCTTTTCTAACTTTTTCTGCAAACTTCTGTTCGTTGCACTGGCCTGTAGAATTCTGACATTTCTTTCCCAGGTCGGTAGCTGGGTTCTATAACTACTGCCTTTCAGTCAACACAATGAACTTACTTTCTACTCCAAGTTTTTCTCTGCATCAGACTGCATTTGGAAGCTGTCTTATTTTAGAAATAAGTTTGAATTTTTGCCTGAATTTAGCTTTTTTAATATTTATAGGTTCAGGACATTCCTTGCAGCAGTGGAGAGCCTGCAATTTCAGCAGCAGCGAAGCGGGAGGAAAGACTGAAGAGATTCAGAGATCTGCATCTTAAGCGGGTGAGAAATGACTAGCTGTGTTATTTAACAAATTGTTTGCATCGCTGAGTGAGCTGGTCTTTCATTCATGGAAAAAGTGACCAGTAGCTATTAAATGTAGTAAATCAATGCAAGTCAATCGTTAAGAGAAATATGAATGAATTCAATTATATATAAAATTTCTGTTCTTATTGTGAAGTAAGTCATATTGGGACCATTTACCCATAATGTTAACTTGTTAAAGTACTACTTAATTGACCATTGTCGTATTGTCTGTGCATAGTTCCTGATTTACATTTAACACAAGTAATGTAGATCACTTGGTTGTAGTAGGAGATATTCCTCAATCTGCTCTGCAGCAGGTTTTTTTTTTAAGTTGGGAACGCTGTAATTCACATGATTTGGGATCCTATTGATTAGATGATCACAGGTCTAAAATCTTTGCTCCCTGGGCCTGATGGATTGCATCCTTGGGTTTTAACATAGCTACAGAAATAGTGGATGCATTGGTAGTCACAGAGGATTGCAAAACTGCAGTGTAACACCTTTATTCAAAAAGGGAGGGAGACAAACAATAGGTAACTTTAGGTCAGTTAGCTTAACATCTGTCATTGGGAAACTGTTAAGAGTCTATTATAAAGAGTGTGATATCATGGCATTTTGAAATCGTAATATAAATAAGCAGAGTCAACTTGACTTCGGAAGGGAAAGTCATGCCGGACAAAGTTATTGCAGTTCTTTGAGGAGTTGACAAAGAGGATAGATAAAGGGGAACCAGTTGATTAATATATTGAGATTTCCAAAAGACATTCGATAGGGTACTGCACATAAGCCTGCATAACAAGATAAGAACCCACATATTGGGGGATTAGTACATTAACATGGATCAGAGGCTCTTATGACGCAGCAATAATGTCCTTGCCTCTGAGTTAGAAGGTCCAGGTTCAAGTTGCACATGCTCCAGACATCTGAACAGTGATTAGAAATATTTATTAGCATTGATATTTTTAGAGGATTGGCTAACTAATAGGAGACAGTAAATTGGGGTAAAGAGAGCATTTTCAGGATGGATACCTGTAACTAGTGGACTGCCACAGTGATCACTGCTGGGGTCACAATTATTTACAACATATATTTATGACTTGATGGTAGAAAGTGAATGGACTTTTGCCAATTTTGCACATCACACAAAAATAAGTGGGAAGCTTAAGTTGTGAGGAAGATGGAGTCTACAGGGATATACAGGCAGTTTATATGAGTGGGCAAAAAAAGATGGATGGAATATAATCATAGAATCCCTACAGTGTGGAAACAGGCCCTTCGACCCAGCAAGTCTACATCAACCTTTGGAGCATCCCACACAGACCCATCCCCTTATAACCCACCTAAGCTACGTATTCCTGAACACTATGGACAATTCAGCACGGCCAGTCCACCTAACCTGCACATCTTTGGACTGTGGGAGGAAACCGGAGTACCCGGAGGAAACCCACGCAGACGCAGGGAGAACGTGCAAACTCCACACAGACAGACTCAGAAAATGTGGGATTATGCAAGAAGAAAAGAAGAGGTGAATATTATTTAAGTGGGGAAAGACATCATAAACCTGCAGCATGGAGCAACCCAAGTTCAACAGGTAATATGGAAAGCAAGTGGGGGGGACTGTTGGCCTTTATTTCGAAGGGAATGGAGTATAAAGTAGAGCGATCTTCCTAAAACAATACAAGGGACTAGTCAAGTTACACCTGAAATACTGTGAGCAATATTTGCCCCCTTATCTAAGGAAAGATAGTGGCGTTGGAGGCAGTCCAGAGAAAGTTCACTAGGTTGATTCTGGGTATGGAGGGATTTTTTTATGTGGAAGGCTTGAATAAGTTGGACTTTTACACACTGGAGTTTAGAAAAATGAGAGGAACCTTTTTGAAACATATTAGATTCTTAGGGACTTGACAGGGTAGAGGTAGATGTTTTTGCCCCTTGTGGGAGAGTCTAGGACCAGAGGGCCATAACCTCAGTGTAAACAAACGCCAATTCAAGAAGCAATGAGGGAGACTATTGTTTTCCCTCTGAGGCTTGTGAATCTGTGAAATTCTTTATAACAGTTGTGGTGGCTGGGTCATTAATTATATTCAAGGCTGAGATGGACAGATTTTCAATCAGTAAGGGAATCATGGCTTATGGGAAAGAGGAGTTGAGGATTATCATATGAACTGTGATCTCGTTCAGTGGCAGAGCTGATTTAATGGGCTGAATGGCCTCATTCAGCTCCTACATCTTGTGGTCTTATATTTGATCTGTAGACTCTACCATATGTGATAGAGTTGGTGCTTGGAGTCTCTGATAGCTTACTTGGGGCTGGGAGGTTTATGTGTTCTTTGCCTTTCATGTTGGCTCTGTAGGTTCCTGCCAAAGTTGCTAACTGGGCTTGTTCTTTCTTGATCATGAATGTTCTTCACTCTAGTTGGTCACAAACCAGGGTCTCCCATGTCAATGGAGCTGTTTGATCTCTTACGAAATGCTTTGAGGATATTCCCAAAGCATTTTTGTTGTCCTTCTGGTAACCTCTTGCTGCAACGAAGTTTTACATTGCTGTGACTGCTACCTCCTTTCTGAGTGTGAATTTGGAAGGTTATTGTGTTAAAACAGTGCACACGTTCTTTTTAAGAATTCTTGAATTTTGGACCCACGCTGTAAAAGTCATTGTTACTTTATTCACAGAATGAATCTCGGAAATTGAATCATCAGGCTGTGGCAGAGGAGGACAGAATCCTGAAACTACCAGCTAACTGGGAGTCTAAAAAAGCACGATTGGAGTGGGAGCTAAAAGTGGAAGAGAAAAAAAAAGTATCCACATATTTTATCTCTTATTGAATATCTGAACTGTGTGTCCTTTGGAGCAATCCACAAATTGGAGGCTAAGGACGAAGATTATTTTAAATTTTAAAAAAAGTTTCCGTTGAACTTGTGATATAAAGCATCGCACCACCTGCAAAAATATTGTTTGAATTCTAGCTTTAAACTATGAAATTTGTACCATCTTCAGTTTACCAGTCACTTAACCTTAAGTATTCCTTGGAAGTTTAAGATTATGAAGTATATCAGCATTTCACATTATTAGCTACTTAAATTGCAAGTAAATGACAACACTCGAGAATAACACAGAGCTTTTTGTTAAGATAGCTTTCACATTTGCCTATATAGCAATCACTAGTCCAAAGAAGTCTATTTTGTATGGAAATTTGGTCCCATTCCTCAGGAAATATAATATGGCACCCTGTAAATGCAAGTCTCTTATTTCTAACATGGAAATTACATGAAAATACAAATTGTATGTTGGTGGGGCAGGAATTGGATTGTTATTACCCTATGTATTTAATCAGCTCACCAAATGTTATATCTTTTGATTATCCCATTATGATGTGAGCTGGAATAGGAAACTTGGAAGTAATCAAATAATGAAGTGCAGTTGGGTACTTAATCTTCTAAAGGTCTCTTTTGACAGTATAAGCCATCAGGATGTTTATACTAGAAATGAGTACCACAGTTGCATGTATCCACTGAAACACAGCAGTAAATCTAGTTTTAAGAATGCCACCTTGTACCCTGTTTACAATCTTTTTGGCAGGTACGATTGTATTGACTGTATAAAATTAGAATCTTAAAATTGATTTCCACAGAGGGAGGTCATTTGGGCTGCCATTATTTTCATAACAAAGAACAGTAAATACATTGTTAACACTTGTGTAAAACTCAATGTTTCTTGCCCTTATGAGTTTATTGGAACATTTTTCTTTGGTCCTTGACAAACTAAAAAGTGTCTCAGCATGAAATGATAAAATATAATGGTTCTAGAGCAGTGATTTCCATCTCTATTTCCTGCTTAACCTTCTAGGAGTGTCTGGAGAAGGGAGAAGACTATGAACGAGTTAAGCTATTGGAAATAAGTGCTGATGATGCAGAGCGATGGGAAAGGAAGAAAAAAAAGAAAAATTCAGATCCAGGATTTTCAGGTACTTGACTTTAATGACCATTCACTGCTTGAAATACTGCTATTTATCCATTAGTAACACTTGAAAAATGTATTGAATTTATCCAAACTTGTATGCTGTGATTTTCCTGCAGTTGTTTGATGAACACTTGGTACTATAGCTGCATGTTCTTGCCCATGTTTTCTAGACAGCATGCTCCAAAGGATCAGACTGGAAAGACATTGTAATAGCTCACGATAAATTTGTGATTCTTACCATCTATTACTACTTTAAAAAAAAATCAGTACACTGAGTGCAGGAAGATTATTTTTTTAAATTCTCCCACTATTTGTTGTTGCCTCCTAAAAACCTTGACACTTTGCTGGTGTATGGTCTTGTGGCTATTCTCTGGTACCCCATTATAGTGGTTATTATTCATATGTGAACTTTAACAGAGTATTTTCAGAGCCTGCCTCTGCCTGTGCCCCAGTGCACAAATGTGTCTGCATCAAATAGGTGCCACTGGACAATAATTTGAAAGAGAAATTCTGCCTAGCTTTTTGCTCCCTCTATTGTCATTTCCTTTGAGATGTTGAAGGTAATGGTAACAGCCCTATTAATACACTGATTGAGATCGGCTAACCCAACACAAATTATAAACCTGGGTTTGTATGGTTCAACCACTTTAGAGAGAGTATTTTGAGCGTCTTAACTATTAATTTTTCTGCTGAAGTTCAGTGTAAGAATAGAAAGGGTTGTTTCTATAAAATACCTGATTTGCTGTCTGTATTGGATTCATTATGTTACTGAAAATTCTGCAAGCATCATTCAGTGGCTAAAAGCACGAGCAGCAAAGCTGTTCTTAGTCCTCTGACTTTACTACTTCATAAACAGCTGCTATGATCTGTGTGAAGATCTGCAGGGTAAGTTCAACAGCAACAATTTGTATTTACATAGCATCTTGAATAAAATGTGTTTCACAGATGCATCATAAAATAAAGTACCGCACTAACCAAAATATGACCAAATTAAATGAGGACACATGTAATGGTAATAATTAATTAATAATTGGCTGTGAATTGGATATTATAAGTAATTAGTGGATTAGAGTTTTGTGATGTGAGAGGTAGAATGAAATTCTGACTAGAAAACGGTATAGACACGTGGTCTCTGTCTAACCAAACTTTTAACTATTTAATCTGCTGTCTGAAATGGTTTAGCAGACAACTTATTCAAGAGCTATTCAGGACCATCTCAGCCCGTGAGCCCATGACTTGGAGACATGTAATTTATTACCAAATGTGCCAATACCGCCTTAAATAACAAACTCTCAAGAAAATGTTGAGCTTGTACAAGACATTAATGAAGCCTCTTCTGAAGTATTGTGCGAAGTTCTGGTCGCCCTTTTGTAGGAAGGATATTAAGCTGGAGGGGGTTCAGAAGAGATTTACCAGCATGTTGCCACATGTGAAGGTTTGAGGTTGAGAGGTGACCTTCTGGAGGTTTATTAAATCGTGAGGGGTATAGATAGGGTTAATGGGAGGTATCTTTTACCTAGGATTCGAATATCAAGACGAGAGGGCATATTTTTAAGGTGAGAGGACAGAGATTTAAAACAGACATGAGGGACGAATTTTTTACACCAAGGATGTATCGCATGTGGAATGAACTTCCTGAGGAAATGCTGGATGTGGGCACAGTTACAACGTTTAAAAGGCATTTAGGTAAGTACAAGAATAGGAAAGGTTTGGAGGGATATAGGCCAGGAGCAGGCAGGTGGGACTAGTTTAGTTTGAGATTATGTTCGGCATACACTGGTTGGACCAAAGGGTCTGTTTCCATGATAGTAGAAACTGCAGATGCAGGACAATCTGAGATAACAAGGTGTAGAGCTGGATGAACACAGCAGGCCAAGCAGCATCAGAGGAGCAGGAAGGCTGACATTTCGGGCCTAGACCCTTCTTCAGAAATGGGAGAGGGGAAGGGGGTTCTGAAATAAATAGGGAGAGAGGGGGAGGCAGATAGAAGATGGATAAAGGAGAAGATAGGTGGAGAGGAGACAGACAGGTCAAAGAGGCGGGGATGGAGCCAGTAAAGGTGAGTGTAGGTGGGGAGTTAGGGAGGGGATAGGTCAGTCCAGGGAGGATGGACAGGTCAAGGGGGCAGGATGAGGCTAGTAGGTAGGAGATGGGGGTGGGGCTTGAGGTGGGAGGAGGGGATAGGTGGGAGGAAGGACAGGTTAGGGAGGCGGGGACAAGCTGGGCTGGTTTTGGGATGCGGTAGGAGGAGGGGAGATTTTGAAGCTTGTGAAGTCCACATTGATACTATTGGGCTGCAGGGTTCCCAAGCGGAATATGAGATGCTGTTCCTGCAACCTTAGGGTGGCACTGCAGGAGGCCCAGGATGGACATGTCGTCTGAGGAATGGGAGGGGGAGTTGAAATGGTTCACGACTGGGAGGTGCAGCTGTTTAGTGCGAACCGAGCGTAGGTGTTCCGCAAAGTGGTCCCCCCGATGTAGAGGAGGCCACAACGGGAACAGCGGATCCAGTATACCACATTAGCAGATGTGCAGGTGAACATCTGCTTGATGTG